TGCTGGTCGCTTACAATCCGACGCTCTGATCACTTGCACCTTGATGATCTAAACATCGAAAGACATCAAAAACCCACTCAAAAACAACTAAACCCTGGTGCGATCATACACTTTGTGCAACCCTGTCCAGAGAACGCTTGTGCAATTCTGACCAGGAGCATTTTGCCGTTAAAGTATCCACTGCAAAACTGTTTGATGCGCACAAAAGTTTTTGTGGTTCCTGAGTCAATTTTGACACCAAAAGTTTCAATTTCCTGAACTCGAGACTTACGCAAACAGAGTAAATAAATTATGCGTGAGCACGAAGTATTATTCCGAAACTCCAGTTTCCTGACTTCTTTGTTTATCGGGGTAATAATTCCCGTGCAAAAATTTTTATGTGCTCTCATTTGAGACCGAGGAGCGTCTGAAGGCTGATTTTAAAATAACGGGGGTCGTAGGCCAACAGCGCACATCCCCCGGAATTCCAGCTTCCTAGCCTTTGTGGTTCCCGAGTTATCAATTTTGGTGCCAGAACATTCACTTGTTTGTACATGAGATACAGGCGTACGCGGGAATGAATTTATATGCAAGCAGGAAGCTTTGCCTTAAAATTTCTGCCCCCTAATCTGTGGCTTTAGAATTATTAATTTTGGTGCCAAAACTTTCGCGTATCTAATCATGTCAATAAGGCGTGCGCAGGGCCTGGATTTTTACGAGGATAGGAGCATAATTTTGAAATTTAAGCTTCTTAGCTTCTCTGGTTCTCAAGTTGAAACCCTCGGATAAAATACATTCGGAATACACACAGACAGGGCCTCGACAATATGCGTTTTGTGTAACTGTTGCAGCATAAAACGCAGAGAAAGCAAGCAGCACCTCGGTGCAATATCTCTCCTCACACATCTGGCATAGGCCGTCTAACTACACACCAAGGGAATCAAGACAGCTTGGACAATCCGTGTAGGAATCCCACATTAGCGACATTGTTGGAGTTCAAGTGCCAGACTCTCCTGACCATGAGCTGCATACTTCCAGTTAGTATCTACCGCTTGTCCGATGCATGTACAACCCTTTTCTAAGGCTGTCCAAGTAATAGGCATATGTATAAATATAAATGTTTAAATGAACATATGTACCAAAAAATTTCAACTTGGGCATCTCTTTGCGGTATGGGAGTGCAGTATCTAGTTGCAGCAAGACACAAAACCTGATAACTCCAAATATGTTGAGATGTTGTCTCGCATTCTGTTCAGTTAAGCTTGGATGGCACCAACCAACTCAACTTGACCAGCGGTTGGTAACAGAGCAAATGACAAGTGCAGAAGCAAAAAACACAAAATCTACGCAGTGCAACACACTAGGGGCAACATCAAGAAAAACAAAGGCACGTCCAATGCCCTACACGGTGCGTAGCGCTGGACCGACAACCGACGGGCGAGAAGCT